TTAAGAACACTATGTAGCCAGAATAAGGGTCCACTCAAAGGTGTCCACAATCTAATCTCAGAACTTGTGAATGCTACCTTACATGCAAAAGGAACTTGCAGGTGTGATTAAATTAAGGACCCTGAGAAGAGAGGATTATTCTGGATTATCAGTGTAATCATACACAGGTCCTTAAAATCCGGGAACCTTTCCTGGCTATGGTCACATGAGATACGACCATAAAAAAATGGTTAGACAGATGCAATATTGCTGGATCTGAATAAGGAGGAAGGGGCCACAAACCGAGGCATGCAGGTGGCCTCTAGAAGGTAAATAAAACAAAATAAAAAATAAACAAAAAAAAATCCCAACCCAGATTCTCCCCTAAATCCTCCAGAAGGAATGTAGCCCTGCTGGCACCTTGATTTTTGCCCAGTGAGACCCGTATCAGGCTTCTGACCTAAAGCCTATAAGACAATACATTTGTATTGCTTTAGGCTACTAAGTTTGTAGTGATTCATTATAGCAGCAAAAGAATACAAATGCTAAGAGTTTTCCAGTTTAATTTCTGAGACATGTAACATGTCAATGTCAGATCTATGAAAGGTTTTATTACCTTCACAAGGCATGCAGGGCCCTTTTCTCCTGGCAATGGAAAATTCAGATCAAAAGGAGAAGAGAGGTTCAGGGAGTTCAGCTGTTGCCCGGTAGAAGCTTCAGTTTCTAAACGTTTTGGCTCTCCACACCACTGGAGTCCACCAACACTCCCTAAATTCAAAGGATAGCATTGCACTTAGTCATTTCTAAGGCCTCCTGGAGAAAAAGAACATTTCATAACTGCCTTTCAAGTTTGATATAAATGATGCTTCTGAGCTCACAAAGTTCAGGTTGTTAGTTTTTAAGAAAACGGCACATACTAACAAAGTTCTCTGTTTGGCCTATAAGAGAACAAAGATAAATATGAAGATCTGAAAATTTTAATTTTTTTCCTACTGTAAAATGGCAACAAATTCCTCCCATCAAATCATGTCTAAGTACTTTCAAAAATTAATATTAGGTCGGAGGCAGTGGCTCATGCCTGTAATCCTAACACTCTGAGAAGCCAAGGTGGGAGGATCACTTGAAGTCAGCAGTTCCGAGCATAGCCTGAGCAAGAACAAGACCCCATCTCTACCAAGAGTAGAAAAAAAAGCCGAGTGTGGTGGCTTGTGGCTGTAGTTCCAGGTACTCGGGTGGCTGAGGCAGGATGATCGCCTGAGCCCAGGAGTTGGAGGTTGCAGTGAGCTATGATGATGCCACTGCACTCTACGCCGGCAACAGAGTGAGATGCTCTCTCCAGAAAACAAAACAAAACAAAACAAAACAAAAACCTGAAACCCCATCCTCATTCCCCCCACCTTCACCAAAAAAAAAGTGAATTCTGAATAAGGTTGACAGATTATATCAATGTCCACTTCCTGGTTGATATTCTACTATAATTATGTAATATGTCACCATTGGGGGAAAGTGAGTGAAGGGCATATAGGATCTCTCTATATTGTTTCTTATAACTGCATATAAATCTACATTTATCTTAAAATAAAAATGTTAAAAATATGTATAGCCTAAAAGACTGACAAGAAATCAACAAGTTGAACTTTACATAATTAAAGTACTCAAATGTATATAAAAAGCCCAAACAAAAAAGGGCAAGAAATAGAAGGTGGCATCAACTACTTGAGTGATAAGAAAGAGAATTACCATATTTCCTGGACTTGAATACCTCACTTATTGTTATGATACACCATTAATTTTAATAAACTTTGGGTGTGGGTGGAGAAAAAGAAAGAATACTATACCTCATTTGCACATATTCACTGTAAAACATTCCAATTTTAAAAACATTAAAATATGTCTTATAAGTTTATAAAGTAGAATGTATGGTCCCATGAAATTCATCAGTAAATTTTTGTTTACCACTGATTGTTAAATTTGCCTTCCTAACCCATTCTTACAGATAGTAAATGATCAGACCCATTTGTTTTACCTCCTTTTCTTCTGATCAAAGGTGATAAAGGGAAGTCACTGGCAGATAAAAGGAGAAATAAAGACAAACTTATCTACCTGTCATAACAAAGAAATTCACTGCTTATAAAAGCTGTGATTGAAATCAATAATAATATACAGCAATTCTGAAATTCTTTGGTTCCAATAGTTCCTTTTATAAAAAAAGAAAGAAATTAATTCTCTCATGCTCTCAGGAAATTTCAACTTTTGGTCTGTTCGTTTTAATCAGAAATAGTTGTACTTTAAGCATGTTTTAAAAAATAAACCACTATAAATGCCTCTGGTACACCACAATTCTGTTTTTCCTTTGATGTTTTTAGTTCTACAAAATAAAAGTACCAATATTCTAAAAAAAATGAGAAAGGATGTTTTCCAATATAAATAAGTAATTTTTAGGGTAAAGTACCATACTTCCATATTACTTAAAAATTGGAAAAAAAATAAGAAAAGACCTTGTCCACCTAACTCCTTGAGACTCTAAAAACATACATTTAGAGCAGCCAATTCTCATTAAGTGATGTCTAATTGCTCAGTTACAAACCACAGTCTGACCAAAGAGTACTGTAAAAACTCTGAAAACTGTCTATAATTGTGATAAACTTGAAAGTAAGGTTGCCACATCATCACCAACACCTAAATCTAGAGCTACATTATGAAACAATTTATTCTGAAAATCAATCGACTGTAAGAGAGCAGAAGTCTACAGGAAACGTGTTAGCAAACACTACCTGCTTGTCTGGCACCTGCATGTTGGTCTTTCTGTTTATTGGGCTGTAGGTCCATATCTTCATCATCTTCATAACTCCTCTTGTGACGACTGGGAGTATAGGATGTTGAAGGACTGACTCGAGCTTGGTTTGCATTAACATAGGCGTTAAATGAAAGGTTAAGAAAAGACTACTACGAACTGAGGAATATCCTAAATTTTATGCTAATTATATGACTTATAAAAAGATTACTAGTTTGGCAATTCAGTTAAAATGGAAATGTATTTTTAAAAGGAGGCTAGACTGCCAGTTTTTGGTCATGAGAGTAACAGGTAACAACTGTATGCCTCCATTGCTGCTGTACACAACTATGTAACTGGACAAAATACATGAAACAATTCTTTTCAGTCACTGGACAACTGGAAGCATAAGGCTATGATCCCTGAAGGAGGAGAAACACACCAGGTAAACTTCATTCTCCCAGCTTTCCAAACTGCAACAAAAAGAAGCAGACACCCTGCTCTTGCTGGTGGAGAAAAAAGAGTGTCTAGCTCAGCTATTGAAGCAATTGGAATTTGCAGAAAAGTACTAGGAAGGAAACATTTGCATATGGAAGACGACCCAGAAATCTGTGCAGGTTGTTTGGATCTTTGGCCAAATACTAAGCTGTGGATGCATAAGTTAAGATTCCTTGATGCCTTAGCAAGAGAACACCTGCTGTTTGGCCAAAAGTTAAACAGAGACTCTGGAAGTAGTACAGTGCTAGAATTGGACTTAGCCAAGAATCCCAGGCATTTAGGTAAGACGTGGAAAGAGCATACCTCATGAATAAGGACTATGTCTTATACAGCAAAAGCTGCTCTACACCAACCAGAACAGATCCCAAAACCAGGCCTTGATAAGATCAAAGTGATACAATAAAGTATATGTCAGAACAAAATGCAACATTCTTGAAAAGACAAAAAACTAAACTCTCTACAATGCTGTAAAAATCAACATACAAGAAAACATTAATTAATATGTGAAGCAGGAAAATACCACCTATTATTGGGATTATAATCAGTCAATAGAAACAAATCCAGAAAATGACCCAGACATTGGGATTAGTGGACAAGGACACTAAAACACAATTATGAAATTCAGAATTTTAAAAGAAAAGATGGATATAATTAGTCAACAGATTAAGAATATTAGCAGAGAAATGGAAACAATGAAAAAACAAAACA